TTCGTCTCGAGTGCCTGGCAACAGTGCCTGTTTACTTTTGTCTGGCAGATCGAGCGGCATAAAAGCAGTCTCGGATGGCCTACTATCTCCTCGAGGCCTCTCACCTTAGAGTCGTCCATCCACATCGAGGTCATTACGAATACGTACAAGTACAGTCCGTGTCACAAGCGTTTGCCCTTTTCGACTAATTCACCAATCAAACCAACGCGTCTTCCCAACTATCCAATAGAAAAAATCAGTTTTCCAAACAAATTTTACAATCTAGAATTTTTCATTTACAAATTAAAATTTACAAATTAAAATTTACAAATTAAAATTTGCAGATTAAATTCCGTGACACTCAACTGTGGAAATGTAACGTGAAATCGAGCGAGTAATTAAATCTGAAAAGAGTAAAATCTTCTCAATTTTATAATCGATCGATCGAAATCGAGAATAGCAAGAAGAGGACTTCCGGTGCAGTCGTAACTCCGCGTTAAATAAATCGCTGCAGCGTTTCGAACGCCAGGTAAATCTGCTCGCGTGTCGATTTATCTGCACGGTGATCGGGGATGCTCGTTTCAATCATTATCCGTGCCAAGATTCTTCCTGAATATTCACGAGCCGTGGATAGCAATAAACGAAACAGTTTACGAAACTCTCTTTCGTTTCGTAACGACGCAAAACTCGTTCCATAGTTCCTATTTGGAAAATTTCGAAAATATCGACGCAAATAGAGGTATAGTAATTACGAGAACCCGGGCATGTTCGTAGAATTTTCCTGAGAGTAAAACGCAGGAATTTGTTAAACGAGATAAGTGGTACAGCCTCCTCGAGGATATTAACACGTACCTGGACGTTTATTTTTTCAATCACTTTAAACATTGCAGGAGTTAACCACTATAATTGTTAAATAATACGGATAATTTTATTTCCCAATACCGTCGTCACGAGGTCGGTTCAAAAAAAGTAAAAATATACTCATGAAACGGAGATAAAATATTTTCCATTTTGCGGGTCCAAGGAAGGTTAGAAAATTTTCCAAACCCATTTTCCAAACCCGTCCAAAATATAAAATGGACGAAGAACCGTTTTATGAAAAATTATAATTAATAGCAAGAATAAAATATGTAAACGTTGTATGTTTTACGGTTTAACACTTTGACTGCCGCGCCACCTATATATGGTGACAGAATTTACCATTAGGATACCAGAAAAATGAATTCTCAAATTAAGACGTCGAGAAAACTAAATTTAGAATTTATGAATTTTAACAACGTTACAAAAAAATAAGTACTGAAAGAAATTTTAGGTTATGTAGCGTAGAATGGTCTGAAATCAAGATTTTATTTTTGCAGAATATTATACGGTTTTATAGGAATGTATCGTGACTGAGAAATGGCTTGGGAAACGCCGCGTGAAACTATGACTATGAAAAAGGTTAAGAACCACTTGTCTATCTGGTCGCTGATGGCGTCGATATTTGTCTCGTTAATGTCTGGGTGCGTCGATCGAAGCGTGGTATCCTTTCCAACCGATCGCTCCGCGGAGCGTGCAAGGGCAGGAAAAAATGATATCGAATTAATTAGAATATCGTTGCGTAGCTAATTGACGACGTCACCGTCGATCGCTATAATTAACCGGGTACCTGTCTCGTTGGGCATAGCGACGAACTTTTGCGACTCCCAAGGTCCCCCCACGAGCAACGGAACGAGTTCGAGGCGCGAAATAATAGTGTCAGGGTACAGTTAGCGAGCGCCAGATTCGCAGACTTACATTATCGGGCTTATTTCCGCCTCGTAACTAGCAACCGACGCATCTCGCGTTACGCGCTCGTCCTTATCGTCGATCCAAACGCGTTCTTCTTTCCGAGCACGATCTCATCGAAGAAACGAGCTGTTAATTTTCGTGCTCGAACGGGGAACGCAACAAATATTTAACACTAGATTTACGGAAGCTGTCAATTTGACTCGTACTTACACTCGTCATCGCTCGATTTTCGCGACGCGTAATAGGTGCACTCTCTCGGAAGGGGGCGCCACAGCTAACTGGTTAAGATAACCGTCGTTCCTCTATGCAACGACGTCGCGAGCGCCCCAAGGGATAGCCATTGCAACTTTTCGCGATCTTCGTGAATTTTTTCTACGGCCAACGCTACACTCAACGTTGCGATTCTTTTTCGTAGATTTCTCAACCACGTTTTAGTTATACGATTAGATTTTTTAATCGGTTCTAAGCGATTGTTTTTCGCTGTTATCTCGCGAGCAAATAAAAGCGTGTCTAACGCTAGATTTACGAAAGCCGTTAATTTGACGGATGTCTGGTTCCATATTTAAAATTGAAGATCGTGTAAATATTATTTTTTAACAACTTATGTTGAATTTTATTGATGCACTGGCATTGAATAGATATTCTAATTAAAAGAAAAATCGTATTTTAAGGTAATCGGCAACATGAAAGCTATCAATAAATATTCGAGAATTCAATGATGACTTAACTGAAGTTTGTTTACATAAATAATAGTGCATAGCAGTAAACGCATGGGGATAATGAAATTTTTTTATAATACTTTTTGGGGTCGTTGGAGTTTGGTGTTGTTTGTATTGGTTTTCATTTTTTTGCACGATCGTAGAGACGTCTATAGAGAAACCAGAGATCCCGAGATTCTACAATTGGATTTTTCACTTTTTTTTTCCCGCAATTAGCTTCATTCCGCGGGAACGGCGCGCGAGACTATGCGAAAGGAGAGCGTGAAACGACAAAAGACCTCGACTCGGTTGGTTAGCCAGCATGAAGTTCCACACATTTGTGCGATTCCATTCTGCGTGCACGCTTTGCATCGACCACGTTTATCCTGTAACGATCATCGCGCGTGTGTTCGCCCGTTGCGTTCATTCATCGTGCGATCCGTACGTGCGTACCGTGAATTCGCGTTTACGTTTCCACAGAACGTTCCATAAACTGTGGTCACGATGGTATGTTATATGAAAAAATGCATTTTGATGCGTTAAAATCCTTCGATCCGTACAGAAGTTACGACTCTACAAACGTAGGCACGAAATTTCGAGCAACCATTTTTGGTCTCAGAGTACATTTTCGGTAATGAATTTTGTTCTCGGTAATGCATAGGATTTCGGGGGTATGTGTATTGACCGAAAATGTTTATAATTGATCCCCACAATTGAGAATAATTTTTTTAGAACGATTTCAAATTTTTTAACTTTGTCCAAAAATTTGTCTACCTACTGGAATTTTTTTCTCGAAAGTGGGTAGGATTTCGAGGGTATGTCTATTCACCAAAAATGTTTGTAATTGACCCCTTCAACTAACAATAATTTTTTTAGATCGATTTGAAACATTTCAATTTCGCCGAAAAATTTCACACCTTTTTGAATTTTTTTCTCGAAAGTGGGTAGGAATTCGAGGGTATGTCTATTCACCAAAAATATTTGTAATTGACCCCTCCAACTAACAATAATTTTTTTAGAACGATTTGAAACTTTCAATTTCGTCGAAAAATTTCACACCTTTTTGAATTTTTTTCTCGAAAGTGGGTAGGAATTCGAGGGTATGTCTATTCACCAAAAATATTTGTAATTGACCCCTCCAACTAACAATAATTTTTTTAGAACGATTTGAAAGTTTTCAATTTCGTCGAAAAATTTGCCCAACTAATCGAATTTTTTTTTCGAAAATGCGTAAGATTTCGGTGGTATTTCACAGTATATGTGGATGTATACATATGTAGGGTATATGTAGGTGCCTCACAATTTTATAAAATTCCTCCAAAATAATTCATAGCAAATTCGTAAATTTTTAAAATTACGAGTCTGTGTTTCTTTGTGAAAAACAATTCGTGGAATCGAGTAACGAGCCGTCCTTAACGTAACTTGTCCGTCAAATAGACACGCGTATAATCGACGAGACAAAACGTGCATAAAAGAATTGCAATCTTATTTAGAAACGATTCTCTCATACAATTACCAGCGATCGTTCTTTCCTTTCTGTTGTTTCTTGTTTTATTGTTCGTGGAATTATACGCTTAGAAAAATAAAGAATAAAGAATTGCTTAACTCTCGTACGCCTCGATCTTCTATTCCCTGTTTAGAATTTTTATTTCGACAAGATTTTTTTTTATTTCGTATTTGTTAGATATTATATGTTCTCGATTCGAAATACGTTCTTTTGCAAAAGAGTAAGAGGCCGAGTATACCGATCGCGGTTCGATCAAAGAACCTTGACGCGAACGTAGTTAAATTTATGCCACCGGTTGATTTCAACGCAGTGAGATCATCGCGGAAGTCGCGTTTAACTATTCCTTTCTTCGCCGCGACGAACGGATCGCCGCGGTCGATATAATCATGAAATACACCTATCATTACCATAAAATAGGAACGATAGGAACAGTGACGGAATACTTGTGGCAATTAGTTCCAAAGAGGCACACACAGTTCCGGCATTTACCGAATATAATTGTGTCTTGTTAAAGCAAAAACAACTATTATCCAAATGTGTTACGCTTCCCCGTGCTGTTTAATTAAAAACTTGCCGTACCGAACAGTAGTTACAGAAACTGGTACAGCGACGACTTGTTAACCTACATCCTCCTCTCACGTATCCGTAACCTAATCGATCGATCGTTTGTCGCAAAAAAAAAATCCAGAAGAAATTAATTTTTCACTCAAAAACTGCATTTCCTTAAAATTTGCCTCGTTCAAATCTTTCCACATTGTTTCTCCGTGTCTATGTATATTTAATAGTTTCTGTCATTTTTTCGAGATTCTCAAAAGCCAAGTAAATAAACATTTACGTGAATTTTAATTTTTCCAATGTTCATTTATTCTATGAATATTAATAAATGCTTGTAAACAGATCTCGAAGTTCTCCAGTTATCGTATCCGTCGAGCAGTCGATAAAAACGTAATCTGTAATTTCGTAATTTTTTGTTTGGTCGTTGTAATGCGAGTGTTCGTAATTTGGTTGGATTTTCGATTGACAATTTGTTTGTTTTTTTCTCTCAGGCGTACATGAGGCCGAAGAGCACGGCGGTTCAAATCGCGAGGATCGCGGCCATCACGTTGGTGACGATGTCCTTCGTCTTTGGTAGCTTCTTCCTGGCCGCCTCTTGGGTCCAGGCACGAGCAACCTGCACCCCCGAATCGATCGCCGCGATGCAGGCGGAACTCAGGCTCCAGCAACAGCAACAACCCTCCGTTGTTTATCAACAAAGCGAGTTCTTGAAGCACCTGCAACCGGAGGCACTCATCCAGGTAAGTAACCAAACGAAAATTCGTATATCCAACTATAACAATCCGATTCGAAATAATCGAGTAGCATAAGATGCCCTAAAATTCTTAAATTATTCATATTTCAGCCAGTACCTTGTTCTTCGTTGGTTCCTTTCGGTAGAAATATAATTTTAATGCACAGGATATTTAAAATTTAAATGGGAGATTCTAGAGGCCAAATTAAGACGAAAATCAAGAATAACAATTTGTTATTTGAGACTTCGTTACAAAGTTATTAACGTTTGAAGTTGCGCGTGTGCAGCCGCAACTCACATTCGCAACTTTGAACGTCAATAACTTTGAAACGAAGCCTCGATCATGAAATTGTTATTCTTGATTTTCGTCTTGTTTTGGTCTCCAGAATCACCCAAAAAAAATTTTTCCCTGTATATTATTTTAATTTCGTTTTCGAAAGAGTTTACGAAAATTGTTCCGCTCGAGATTCTCGATAGTTTTAAATTAGCGGAAAATACGAAATGTAAAGAGTGTTGTAGAATACAAAATGTGGTAAATAAGAAGCACAGGCGATACGTTGGCGCGTACGAGTCTAGAATGGCTTTTCCTCCGTGAAATTTCTAAACTGAAAGGTCGCCCGCCGCCCCGTAAACCGTGCCTCGCGTCGATATTTCACTCGTTCGGTGCGGTACCAGCTTTCGAGATTTCTAAATTTTCACCTGAAATTCAGCCGATTGTAAAACGCTCGTTTCCACTCGAACGGACCTGTTGTGACTTTACGATCGAAAGCGCGGCAGGAAAACGTTACGATAACGACGCTAATACGATTAACGCTTCGCTTTGCTCCGCCGAAAACGTTAATTAAGTCGAGGCTCGGGTAACAGCCGTGAATAATCAATTCGATAATCGGGGAATATTTTTTTCCACAATTAACATACTCTTGGTTATTTTTACTATAATTTTCACGTCTCCGTGTACCGGTTTCGTATAATTCTTTAATCAAATCAATTTTTTTTTCCTTAAAAATCGCCACTCTAAAATATGGTAGCTTTATTGTTGCGTTATTCTCGTTAAAATATTAATTTTCACAGTGGAAGATATTGCTTTATAATATCTCGAATAAACATCGAAAAATGAGAGTGAAAAAAAAAGGGATCCAACGGTTATTCGATGGGCGTCCATTATTCGTCGAGTATGGTTGCACAATTAATTTCGCTGGATGCAAACGATCGTTACGAATCCAGTTTCGCGTACGGCGCGCGCAACGTGGCTGGCTGCGATGAGACAACAAAGAAGAATGGCTTCTCACGGCACTCGATGGAACGAAAGGATCGTGCTCGATCTATGGTCACGCCTTTCTTTGTGGTATTTGCCTCGATATTACCGGCAATAACGAACGCGAGCCGAGATTTACCATGATTTATCGCGGACTTTTTCATCCGCGAAGACCGCGAAAGCCACGTCTACGTAGCAGACTATGCACGATTCGTTTGTTATCGCGTATCCATTGTAATTGGAGATTCTACGCCCAAACGCCGTAGAATCTACCTCGAAAGATCCTGAGAAAATGTAAATTATATTTTTAGAGAATCGAAAAGTTCGAGGAATGAATTTTATCTTGCGCAGTTATCGTGCATCGTGTTTATTTATATTTTCATACACTGTGGCGGTGATTTATACGAATTGAAAATACACGAGGTAGTCAACAACTTCCCAAACTTCGCTGGCCTCCATAAATGATCAGTTTTCTAGACCAGAAAATATTTATTCAGCGCGCGAATAAATCAGCGATTCAATTAGACAAATACATTATTAAACACGCGTAAAAAAGATCGATATTTGAGTATTTTCAAATAACTTAAATTTCTTATTTCTTATTTGAAAAATCGAGATCGATAGTTTTACCGATCAATAACGATATAAAGAATTGTCAGTTCGCCGGGGTTTTTCACGCTTTTCTAATGTCCATGAAAACAGCGAGAACGTCGGGACGCTAACGAGGGAGTCAGTAATGAAAAGTCGGGAACTTAGAAAGCGTGGAATTATTTGCGATCGAGACAGATGCGCGCATTCTTGTGCAGCTTTGCAAAAAGAGAGAGGCGAGAACTCGAATTGGGCACGCAAATCGTGGATACGCGGCTCGCGGTGCATAAAATCGTTTCTGTTCACGGCGAGAAAGTATAGACGCGTTGTACGCGTTATCTGCACGGCCTCGATGAATCCTACGTCGCCTCGCGTCGCGTTCGAGTGGCAGTTAATAATTTATCGCGACGAAAATTGCTAGTTTGCGAACGCCATCGAGGACGAGACGAGGCGACTAATTTTCTGTTTCAAAGACGCATAAAAATCACGCGAGAAAAGGAATAGAAAAATTAAATTTGCATCGTATAAATATTACTAACGTATCGACTGTAAATGGCTCCCGTGCGCGAAAGAAAGATGGCGACGCGTGCAGTCGGATAGGAAGAGAACGACAATTAATTCTGTCCGTCTAGCAAACGCGCAGCTAAACGAAGACGAACGGTGTACCAATGCACGCCGCGGGATAAAACGCAGAAAACGAAACGTTGAAAGAAGCCGGTGCTCGCCGGTGCTAGGAGCTGCGTTCAAGGAGAACCGCAACGGTGAATTACGTAATTCGGGTTACGTTCCTCGGCGCGCGATCCTAACGCGAAACAGGAAATCGCCTTTTTCTCTTCTTTCCATCTTGGAATCGAGCCACGGCGTTGTCGAAAGGCTGTTGGGAGATCGAGGCCCCAACACCGCCTCTGACAACATTTAGAACACGTTCCATTCAATTGGCAATTGACCGCCAACTTCAAAGAAGAACATTTTTTCTCGGGGAAAAATGCGTTGGCTAAAGATGGACGGAGATGTCGACGATTAGTTACGCGTTTCGTCACGGCTGGCGCTCGGTGCGTTCACGCGCGTTCGAGAATGCGCACAGCGGTCGTAAAAACGAGAGAAAAATGTTGGTAAACAGTGGTCTAGAATTTGCTTCTTTAGAAATTACTCTGAAGAGTGATTATTAAACCTCTTTGATAGCGATCGCTGTGTCAGTGTTTGGGAACTTTAACAAAACTACTTGTTTATTTCGATATTGTAAAATAAAAAATACAGCATCCGATACGTGTCACAAAGGGTTAATTACGTTCTCGAATTCGTTCCAGTTTAAGTTGGCGGTAGAAAGTTGTTTTTGCTTTCTTGCATGCAATAGAGCCTGAACAATAATAATCTAGGAATTAATAAAACGAATAATTAAATTAAATACAAAATATATATTATTTATATAAATTACAAGACATCTAACTTCGTCCAAGTTACATAAATTCTTAATTGCTAGGATGTTGTTTAAACGATCCATCTTGTCTCCTATCGATGCGTCACATCTCGTTGGTTCTGTTCAACTTGTTTATTAACCATTTCTACGCCGACTTAGCAATATATAGTTTCGCAACGAATTAATCTGACATTACCGCGAGTGCAGTCGCCTGTCCAGTTAAATAAAATCAGGACTTTCTAGCGAGCCGTTCGAGCATAAACTTATATTAAACGTGTAACGTTTCCTCTATGGTCGTCGCTTCTTGTGGATCCAGTGTTCGAAGCTCGCGGTCCTGGCGCCGTGTTTCTATTGGTCGTGGGCTCCAGCGGCGAGAACCAATCACGCGTTTCTTCCCGCGTTGCTCGCCACTCGAAAACCATGTGCAACGTGCTGCACGCGTCGCGTCGTAACATGACTACGAATCAATGCACGAATGTTTTGAAGCAATAAATTTGATGAATTGTAAAATCGTGAAGTGGAAAGAAGCGATGTAGTTCGTATAGTTTAACACGTCGAATGCTTTGGTTATTCGTCACCGTTGTTCGAGGTTAAGCATCTCGAAAAGGAGACGATTGTTGCTAACGTGTGATAAAACGTACACTCGTTACCGTATTAAAACGAGGACATTCGCGGACCAACCGGAGCGTGTAGAACTTCGCGTTGGACAAGGACAGCGGTGGTCGTCGATTCGAATAAAACCGTGTAGAAAATTTCCATGTACGCGTCGTGCTCGTTTCGCCGCGTAAATCTAATCGCGGATGATCGTTTGTAAAAAGAGTCGATACGCGTGATCGTTAACGCAGGAATTACGAGGTTAGAAATCGTGGATTGTAAATAAACTGTCGGACGTCAAGGACGGGCGATAAATTATCCCAGAATTCTGTTCCAAATAAATAAATAGTGTTTTGTTCGATATTTCTATTATTCGGGGATAGAAACGATTTTCATCCACGGTCGACGCAACTTTAAAAATAATATTTACACAAGATACAGTTACGTGGAAATTATAGATGCAAATGTGATTCGCTATGTATCATTTATGAGGTGAAAACATATTAAGATTCAAATTGCTACATATTAAGGTCCACTTAGATTCGATGCGTCTTCCATTCAAACTCATTTTCATATTTGCATTTCTGGTCCATAATCAACGTTCAAACGCCTTGCACTGTGATTTTATTTATACGCGTTTATGATAATGAAAGAAACATTAACGCTCGGTACTTTTAGACGTGGTTTCTCATCTTTGCACCGTGGACTTTATCTTTTAACGTAGATATTTATAAACCTAGAAACCTTGGCGACAACCTTGCACTAAAATGATACTAAGAATTACTTTTTAGCGATTGTGTGTGGTTTTATTATCGGTGATCCATAAATATCCAATTTATTGGTACGTTAAAACGATATAAGAATTATTGACGTGTATCGAACTGCATTGGTTTCTCGTTAAGTGATCGATCGACATTCGACGTTGCATTAGGTTCATGCGAATACATTAGATTGGCATTCGAGTCTCGTTCGCCGATCTTACTTTCTATCGAGTGCCTTAAACGAACCGGAAACCGTGCTGTGGCTACGTTATTTGAACGATCGAAGCATATAGGAAAGTCTGTGAAATTGCCAATAAGCAAATCGACCTTCACGAAGATAATGACTTTATTTTTACTCCCCTTAAAAACTATAGGTATAAAAACGGAATTCG